ACCGGAGGTTCCGAGAGCGGCCAATGTGGTAAATGATTCACTTTAAGTCTATAGAAAGAATATACATGAAAATCCATGAAGAAAGAGCTGTCGCACGGCACGTTTTTGAGTTAAAACGAAATTGTCTCCTGCTACAGGTTCTCTCGGGGCATCTCAGTGGTTCCGAGAGCGGCCAATGTGGTCAATGATCCACTTTAAGTCTATAAAAAGAATATTCATGAAAATCTATGAAGAGAGAGCTGTCGCACGGCATGTTTTTGAGTAAAAATGCAATTGCATCCTACTACTGGTTCCCCCGGGGGTATCCCGTGATTCCGAGAGCTGCCAATGTGGTCACTGATCCATTTGAAGTTTAATGAATACCTATTCATGAAAAACCATGAAGAATGAGCTGTCGCACGGCATGTTTTGGTGTAAAAATGCAATTGTCCTCTGCTCCAGGTTCCCCCGGGGGCATACCGGAGGTCCCGAGAGCGGCCAATGTGGTCACTAATCCATTTAAAGTCTATCAAAAGCCTATTCATGAAAAAGCTTGCATAAAAAGCTGTCACACGGCATGTATTGGTGTAAAAACGCAATTGACCCCTGCTATAGGATCTCTCGGGGGTATCCCGTGATTCCAAGAGCGGCCAATGTGGTCAATGATTCATTTGAAGTTTATGAAAAGCCTATTCTTGAAAAACCATGAAGAACCCTCCACCAGAACCGATTCCAGGGAAATGGCCATATCTCGTTGATTATAGGCCGATTTTAGTTCTTGGCATATGATTCGCTTTAGAAATTGTTTTTCTTCCGTTGTATTTACTAAATATATATATATATATTTAACTAGCATCATATATAAAATTTCACCAAAAATTTAGCAAGTTAGACAAGCCCTCCGGAAACCCGGAATATCTCCGGTATCCGGTGACCAGGATTATTTTAGTGGCTACACCGTAGAACAATATTAGTTTTCCAGTCAAATGCTCTTAGAAGATTTAAAATCGGATCATATTTGATGAAGTTACAACACTCCAAAGTTGACCAAAAATTTGCCTATCCTAGTTATTTTGAGTAAGCACTGTATTTTTATTATTAATTTATTATTTTATTCATTTACCAATTAATTTTTATTTCGTCCCTTGTTATTTATTTTTTGCCGACACCCCCCCCCCCCTCCGATTTGAGTGACGTCGGACATAAAATGAAATTAATATTTGCATCAGCCTAACTAATTATCCTGAAATTCAATTAAAAAATGGTTTTAGCAAAGTTGTAGCTGAGAAAATTTTCATATAAGTTCAGATGGCTAAACATACCGGTAAATCATTATGGGGCTGTCCATAAACTACGTAGACAGTTTAGGGGGGGGGGGGTTGACAATTATCCACGGTCCATACAAATTTTAAATTTTTTGTATGGACAATTGTCTACGCATGGGGAGGGGGGGGATCAAGAATCCCAAAAAACTGTCTACGTAGTTTATGAACAGGCCCTATGTTGCAATGTTAGGACGAGGTGAAGAAAAAGTTTTGTTTACCTATGGTAAATACCATATAAACTTAAGAGGGCTAGTGCAGTATGAGTTCGCAACCAAATGAAATTTTGGGAGAATATCTGGACCTGACTTAGAGCAAATCGGATTGGAGCAAAATCGATATTTTGAGTCACTCTTATATTTATATATATATACTCGATGGTCCTTTCAATATCGAGTTGGGGAGAGTTGACTGTAAACATAATACTTTAATGGTGGTAAGCTCCAACTGGTATTATCCTCGGATTTAATCCCGATCAAGAATATCAACATTTTACACACCTTTCAAACAGGGACGGGATTAAAAGTTAATCCGAGTTGGAGCTTACCGCCATAAATAATACACACTTCTTAAATAACCCTGGTTTAAGGACAATGTTCATGGAAGCCTATAATTCTATTTGTTTCACCGTTTTGTAGTATCTCGAGTACACAACAGTCTATGAACTTAATGTATAAAGTTGAAAATCATGGCTCAATAGAAACTAGTAATCTGAGTCATTTTTTTAATTAACACAGCCGATGGATGATTGATTAGATTTGTGCCAAGTGGCTTTGATGAACTTTGTCCATAGATTCTTTTTTTCTTTCAAGATGCTCTGGGATGAACTGGATTAACAGATAATTAATAACTAGTTTAGGCATAGTTCATAATGTTACTTATTTTTAACGATAATATTTTTATCATTTTTATTACAATGCCTATCCGTTTTTTGCAACATGCTTTTTCGATATTTTTTTCCAATACCACTGATCGCTAAAGAATGTTGTAGTAAATAAACCCACACATCGATTTTTAAAAATGGAGAGAGAAAAAAATATCACTTGTTGCCAAGAACGGGAAGGCAGAGTATTCATGTTTATAAACTTCCGTAATTTGCTCATGGATGTAACCTCTTCTTTATAGCTCACGGAATTACCTATGACGCTCTTATGCTTATGAATGACAATGATTTGATAGATATGGATATAACACAGAAAGGCCCTCGAGTCATAATTATGAACTTCGTGAAAAACAATCGGCGCATACGACGGACACATCTACGGATCTCGTGAATAGTGATCGAGACCCTCCATTACTTGTGCCATCCGATTTCTCGGTAAGTGTTCAAACTTTTTTCCAGGGTGTGTCTAAAGCGATTTCCTGAAGAGTTCACAAATGGCCTTCATAATGGCTGATTTACTCTCGGATTTACTCTATAACTTCAAGTTTTCCAGAGCACTAATCTCGGATATAATTGCAACAACGCTCATGAAATTGGAACTTCTTGTTTGCTTCACTGCAGCAAATGTTCATGTACTTCCACTTCGAATATTCAATCACACAAATCTCGGAAATCAGTGCCTCATTTCACCTGAAATTGCTACTCCATGTATGCCGCAGTGCAGCAAACGTGAAGTACTAATTTCATTGTTGTACGTGTCATGGAAGCTGAGATTTGTGCACTTAAACTTTTGAAGTGGTAACGAAAGCAAGGATCTCACAACGAGTCACCTTAAAAATACAATTCAATTTAATACAATTTAATAACAAAGAAACTTATCAGATTTCAGAAATCAAAACAACGTTGGAAAATACGCCGAAATTTCGTAATATTTTGTATGGTCAACTAAACAATGACCAAGTTCCGGGGTTATTAGAAATGGTCAGAATAATTTGCAACCATTTTTTTGAAGATCGTGTTCTGAATCACCAGACGTAAGTCTCTCTTTCTCCCGTCGCTCCATTGGTCTTCCTTTCAAGCTTCGGTGAAACGGATGAGCGAAAGAGCGCTCGACTTTGATAGTTTTCTCTTTCATGAAACACATCAACAGAGGTTTCATGACGTATATGACGGAAAATGAAATAACACATTTAAAGCATTTCTCACGTGAAAACACGTGAAGATTACACGTAATATTTTTAATTTATCTTCCATCCATATATTTATCTAAAAAAAATTATCAAAAACGAGACATAACGCATTTTAAACAAATTGAAAGATCGGTGATAGAGTGTTCGTGAAAGGGGATTGAAAGCCATAATGAGGTTCGTTTAACTATAAAATCGACGTTAGTTACATTGAAAGCGATGAGCAAAGCAACGACGAGAAGTTCCACAGCCAGTGTTTCCTTCTAAGCGTGCTTCTTTTTCACTATCATTTCTTGCTGATAGTCTAGCTAGGCGTTATAGAAATGAAGCGTCGAACACGTATGTATGAGAGAAAAATAAACACGAGTTCATTTTAGAGCTTCGAAAATGTAGAGCCCTGGTGTTCACTGTGTTCTGATAGGCCAATGGAATGCAATAAGCACATTTTATGGACGTGATTTTGGTTTTGAACGAAAAAACTGGTTTTGAAGTTAAAAAAAAATCAATAATGGCTGTTTGAACCTTAAAGATAGCTTACCTATTTACGAGATTTAACACAATTACAATGTGTTTTGTAAATAACCTGTTGAAATTAAATCCTCGAATAGTTAAATTGAATTCATTGATTTAATTAAACCATTTCCACGAAAATCTTTTTGATCTTTTTGTGATGCAATTTTTTTTGCTGCTAGGTATTACATTCATGTCTGTGGATTTCAGAATCTAGGCGGTTTTGTTTACATCTCAGTATCTGTCTCAGATAAATCTACATAAATATTCAAGAAAAAATGCGATATGTGTTAATTTCAAATTTGGAGGAGCTTAAATCTCGATGAACATTTCAAATGGTCCTATCTGCTTTGATCGATTCTCTTAATCGACTTTCTCTTTTCATAACCACTGCTATGCAAACAGATTTCGCGCTAATTCTACCACATATTTTGATAAAGGAAGTTCTTATCTAGCGTCCAAAATGTCAAATACAACAGGGAAAGGTTTTGCAGTTGAGTTATTGACGAAAGAGAAAGTCGATGAAGAGAATCGATCAATGCAGATAGGACCATTTGGCGAAAAACAATAGCTCGCTAGGAATATTTGTGAAGCATTTCCGCAATTAAAAAAGACAAAAACAAATGTCAATGGTCCTGACGAGGTACACGAGGTATCGAGCACAGTTAGTTAAATTTTTCTAAGGTTTTGTTTTATTTATTTTTAGTCATTTTTCTTCTGGTCAAATGGCGGTGCATGTAAAGGGCCGCACACTGGCCTGATTGAACAGAGGACCAACAATATGCGCAAAAAGGTCCCTAAAGAAAATCGGAAAATTATGAGAAAAACTTCATGTTCCTTGAATTCAGATGAAGAAGATCGTCACGCTGAAGCTACTAAGTTTTCCGCTAAAAAATGTGCCACCTTAACGCCAACGCCGGAAAACTGCCACATTATTTCTTATATGATGTATGAAGCCACCCCGCTCCATAAGTCGATGCTAAGCAGAAATCGTAGCGTTTCCGACATCATTCGTCAATTTCCGCATCTTCGATCTTACCATGGCTTGTTGGTATTTACTACAAACTTTGAATTGAAAAAGTAACTGTAGCATAGATATTCTATTCTTTTTAGATACAACAAGCGTACAATAGGCCCACAGGAAACTGTACATCAGCACCAGATCTAAAGGGATTTTTATCAAAATCGTTGTTGTTACGACGTGACATTTTCAATTTCATCGATGATGGTATGTTTAAATGCATTTTTTAATTCCTAAGAATATGCATTAACAAAAGATTTTTTTCTTTGCTCTAGAGTACATTCGGGCGTGTTTGATAATCATGAGGCAGTTGCCCGTTCGTGGCTGTAAACGTGGTAGAGAAAAGGAATGTATGTCAGTCGATGAAGTATCAGCAGCTCCATTTATACGATGGGTTAAGGTATAGTATTTCACCGTTTTTTCAACAATTTTCTCTTCCCCGAATGCACTAGATAAAAATTTCGTTTGATGTCGAGTTTAGCAATACACTAAATTTGGTATTTACCCTTTTTTTCTCCGCGGTAGTCATTATTTGCTTAGATTTCTTCAGAAATGCGTTTTAAACGTATCTTCGTTTGGTTCTTCCTGTTTTTTTTTCGGAATTTTCGTGGTTTTGAAATTTACACTTTTTTCCACATTTACGCTGTTTTTTTTACGTGGCACGTAACCCTCTTGTAAAAACCGAGTTGAGTATCCTGATCTATTATTGTCAGGAGGGTAAATATGAGGTCTACCCCTCTGACAATTATTAGTTCACCGCCAAAAATTAGCTCTCAAGGATTTAGTATATCCATATACTGCCGTCATACGCATAATTGTCCCATGGTCCATAATGAATACATAGAACATGGGACAGTTATGCGTATAACGGCAGTTATAGGTCACAAAACTGATCAAAAATTTAAGCTTAGCAATGATCAACCACACTTTTTACGAAAATTATTAAAATTCAGCTATGTATATTAAGGTGATTCCCTGTAGCGTCCTTTTTCGTGTTACACTTCGCAACTTTACATGTGAAAATAATAAGGTTTCTGTGAATGTATGTAGCTAAAACTACTACTTGTTGTTTGCTGCGTAGAAGCAAGGAATGTCTGAAATTTTCAGATGTATACACCTCGTAGATCTTGAGATGTGTGCTCTTAAACTTGCGAGGTGTGATGGAAAAACGGACTCTACGAGGAAACACCTTAAGGGATCTTTTCAACGGTCGTGTTTGTATCGCATGGGTATTGGACACTTGAGGAATCTACAAGGAATCACCTTCAAAATGTCTACGATTCTAGTCCTTAAAATGCTATTGTATATTTTCAGATTGAGGACCAATACAGTCACTTGCATGGTGGCCAATACCCTGCGCACCTGGCGTGTATCGCCGATGTCTTCAAGAAGGGTTCCTACTACGTGGTTCATGGAACAGAGCACGTCGACTGCGGGGATGACTCGGTGCAAGCCATTGATGTTTTTTTATAAATCCTTTAAGGTCTTTAATTTACCTGTTCCGACCCTGCTGAGATCACTTCATGACTCATTCAGTATTATTCATTATAAGACATTCACACAGAGCAGAAGTGTTCAAGTGAACTTGTTAGTGCAGGCTCAGTAATCGCTTATTTTTGTAGCTCTTGTGTTTTCGCACAGTAACCAGCTTTTCGTCCCTATTCCCGTTTTCAAACAAATCGAATCCGCCATACAAAATTATGTTTTGAATCGTTTGAAAACGATAATAGGTGTTTTTATTTTATGCACATGCATTTGAGAATAAAAAAAAAAATACATAGCATTGTAAACTTACGGTAAACTTGTTTAATGAGGGTCTAGGATAAGAGAGGATCGAATTCGAAACAAACTGCCTCGGCAAGCTGCGTCTAGGTGGTTCATAGTAACCCTTTAAATAAAAACAAAATTAAGATAAGCACTGCTCGATTGCCTTCGTTTGGCTCAAAATCAATTCTCCTCTCCTCTCCTCTTTATCCTAGACTGTCTTATACTAAACTGTCCAATTTATTTTAAACGTTCATTCAAAAAAAGAAATTTTTCCAACACAATTCAACGGGGTTTCCTCCAGGGTTTTCTCGCTTTTTTTCTTTTTTCCCCTGGGTAGAAAGTTACCCATTTTGAAAGTTCGGTTCTACGAACTCATTTTTTGAGTTCGAGGCCAGTTACCCAAAAATGAGGAGCGCTAACGAACTTCGATTTTGGGTTACTTTCTACCCATAAATGGGTAACCGGGCCTTAGCGTGTATGTTGGGAATATAATATGATGTTCACACTATGGACTTGTAACATGTTTCAAGCCCTTTTCATGATACAAGCGCTGTATCATGTTTTTAAAACGTGTTATTCCCATACGATTTTGACAACTCTGTACCTCCTGCTTGTAACTACACGGTAAGAAAAAAGTACCCAACGGCCAGTTCACTTCTACCTACTTTTGACTAGTTTGTCTCATTTTCACCTTCTAATGTTGTCAAAAAAGAAGGAGCAAAACCACCCAACAGGGGTAGTAAAGTGTGGGAACCCAACGTTGGGTATAATCATATTTACCTACTGTTGGGTACAACTAACTTACTTTTGGTTAAAAAGCTAGTGGAAAATTCCATACGAACTGCACACAAGTAAATCAAAATTACTTTGACCCGCTTTACCTACTTTTGGGTTCCTGCACTATAGTGCCGAGATGAGTGAAAAGAACTTAATTTTGGGTACTTTTTTCTAACCGTGTAGATATTCTGAATAACATGTTTAAAATGGGGTCCGACCTTCTCGAATCAGATCTAAAATCGCGCTTCATCGCAGCCCTGCAATAGATTTGACATCTCATTATGCATCATTCGCTGTCAACAAACATTTTGTAGGGGGTTCCGATGTTCTTTTCCTTGAGAAAAATTTATTAAATTCTTTCGTTTGTTTTAATTTGCAAAGTATCGTTTCGTATCGTATCGTATTGTTGATCGAGGATAGCATAATGCTGCCAGGTAATTCGTATGAAATGATAATGAAAGACAGTTTATTTATTGAAAACCATACAGAAACAACCGAAGAAATCCAGGTAGAGTCGGAAGAATGGCTGGATTACGAGATGAGGTCACCTGACCTAGACGGGATACTAACTCTATCTCCGGGACCATCACATTCGGGAACTTCGCAATCGACTCCACAGACTGTAAAGAAGAAGAAAAATAACTTTCAAGCCGAGATTCTCAAACCATGGGATATCCTAGAAGATCAGGTTACGACACAAGAAAAACGACAACGGGAGATCGACGAACAAATCTTGCACCAGGAAGCACGTCGGACAGAGCTGCTTGAGAAGTTTGTGCAGGATTCAGCCGAGCTTAAGGACGCATTTATAAGTTACTTAAATAGTCACGTTTAAGATTTGCTTGTTAAATACAGTTTTTAAATGCGCTATGTAATATTGTGAATTTGATTTTGAAGAGGGAAAAAGGGGTGGGTTTAGTTTGCATGGAGAGTCACCCAGAAATAATTGTTGCTGCAAAATTTGGTTTATTGTATAGTAATTATTTTCTTTTGAGGTTCTTTGTTTATAATTTACTACGGCACTAATCTTGATGGTTGTATTTCGTTTACGAAACAAGCTAAAGCATGCCTAATCTCTTCGGCACTCGCATTTCTGTTTCCGATTTTTGTTTCCATCGTGGGTTTAACCAAAACGTTATCATCCTTTTGTTGATTTAACAACCATGATATATTTAAATCGTCGTTTCGTTCATTTAAATAGTTGTGCAGAACACAACTACTTTTTCTGATTAAAGACACATTGTCCATCGAATTGTCAATTCCCTTTTCCACTCTTCTGAAGCGTGCTTCCAGATGTCCGAAAGCGTTTTCGACAACTCTTCGGCACTTAGAAAGTGCATAATTAAAATTACGCTTTAGATCTTCTTGTTGTAGCTGGAAAGGGTATGGCTTCATCATATTATCTGAAAGCCGGAAGGCTGAATCTCCGATCAGCACAATGGGAACCTGAACACCGTGAATGATTCGTGTCATTTGCTGCAAAACCGGACTGTGCAGAATTTGCTGCTTCAATTTGGAAGACTCGTACAGCTGCGAATCGTTGCAACGACCAGGACTGCCAACGTTGATATAGAGGAAGCGATATCTAAAATAAAAATAATATATAATTTTGCTTGAGTACAACATCACAAAAACAATTTTATTTTATTTTACCTGTGGTCAACTAGAGCCAGCAAGTTCGTGGAATACCACCCTTTATAATTATGGTAATCGACGGCGTCTTTGGCATGCGGATGGACTTCGATATGACAGCCATCTAAAATACAGAGCGTAATGTATCAAATAATGAAGAATAAAGCTGTAAAATTCAAATGCACATAGGCTCAATGAAACTGACTATATATTTGACTGATATATTTATATAAGTCGTGGTTGATCTTGTTGATCATCAAACTTGAACTCCACGATGATATGCAGAACCAACAACATCTGAATGCCACAATACACTACAGAAAATATAAAAATAACATGTACTTACCAATCGCCCCGAGGCATTGGGGAAATCCAAGTTTTTCAAACCCGGATATGCAGTCCTCCACTGTGTCCTTCACTAACGGGAAAAAGTTCAAAAATTTAGGTTGTAGGGTATCCCATACAGCTTGGAAAAATTCCAGCAAGATACAGCACGTTGTCGATTTGCCGATACCAAAAAGGTTTGCAATCGTCCGGTACTCCGACGACGACCCAAGGGCATAAACAGCCACAGCGATCCGCTTTTCCAAAGGTATTGCCTTTCTGAAGACGGTCGTTTCCTTTTGTAACGAAGACAGCAAACTGCAAAGCTCTTGGAAGCAACCACGGCTCATGCGGAAATTTTCTTTAAAAAAATCTTCTCCAGTCAACTTCCCAAAAGTATTGCGACCGTTCCTGAAATATCAATAATAGATCTTCGTTAACTAACACACATTTGAAGAAAAAATACCTTGACCCAAATCCGAGGAATCAATGCATTCTTTTCCCCCACCGCCATTAAGAGCGTCTGCTGCTTCCGAAGCTTGAAAATCGTATTGGCACATTCCCAGCGTTTCCTCCGAAGCCGCGTCAGTGATTCCTCAAATAAATCATTGAGGATCCTCATTTTTCTTTCAACATTTTGAAGAAACATGAAGATGGCAACGTGATTTATTTCCATTTTTGGATTGAGTCTTGTACTTTAAAAATAAAAAGTGGTTTTCCGGCAAAGACAATGTAAACAAAAACATTGGAAACCTAAATAACTACCGAGCTGTCAACTTGTATCACCAAAAACATAATGTGAACAGTTTTGTTGCAGGGTTGTATTAAGTATCGAATAACATGTTACAACTCTCTAATCTGAACAAGGCATTAAGTCAATCCAGTGACTGAGTAGGGAGTACTCATTCTTGCGTCAAAGTGTGGAGTTGTCAAAATTTGAGTAAATAACTTTTGTTCTGATGAGTAAAAGCTACCCAGATTCTGGGTAAATGGATATAATAATAATTTCCCAAAATTCAAAATGGAGCCCCAAAGAAAAAATGTCTTTTACGCGGAGTAAAAATTAAATGTTTCGATGTGATACAGCTTAAAACAGAAACCACGGAATTTTTTGAATTGTGACACAAGACAGCAGCTTGTTGGTAAGTATATTGAAAGTTTTCTTACTTTATTCTTCCTCTAAATACTTAATTTTTCAGAAATCTAGTGCAGTTTTAAACCTCTGACCAAGTCAGCGACTCATTCATCGATATTGGTACTTCAATGCTTACAAGTGATCGGTGAAGGAGTTGCTAACATTTTAATTTATTCAATGCACAGTATTATTTTTTTAATATATGTTGATTGATTGTTATCCATATGCATGTAAAAAGAAAACTATTTGTAAGCATTTATGTGTTACTAATTTCTATAAAAATAAGTAAGCTTTACCTTTAGCAAACGTCAAAATCTGAGTAAGCTCTACTCAGTTTCCTTTTTGGCCGAACTGAGTGACTTTCAACTCAAAGATGAGTAGCTCCAGAATAGCGTGTACGTCGATCGGATTCTCATACCCCCCACACGAATTGCCGGCGAAAAAGTGACGTCATTTGACATTGAGCGACTTGAAGACTGATCGTTCGCCCTTTGTTCGGAATGCGGACGAAGGGCGACTCGCCCCGCTAGAGTAATTTCATCCGCCGGGCGACCAAATGGCGCTCCGGGATCCGGACGAAAGGCGACTCGCCCCGCTAGTGTAATTTCATCCGCCGGGCGACCAAATGGCGCTCCGGGATCCGGACAAAAGGCGACTCGCCCCGCTAGAGTAATTTCATGCGCCGGGCTACCAAATAGCGGATGGAACTTAGCCATTTTTTTGTGATTTTTTTTCGCGGCGGCTGTCAGTCATCTTTTCATATCGTGCGAGTGGAGAAGTGTTTTTTTTTTTATCCGCGCCACGAAAATGGCCTCCGATGGCCATCTTGGGAGAGCAGCTAATGGAATATGGAAGGTAAATATGGTAAATATTCTGCATGCAAATTGTGCATGATAATTGATATTGACATTTTTTTTTCAGCCAGATCCAGTACAATTCCGGATTATCGGAGGTAGAGCTGGCGACAAGAAGTTGAATAGGGTAAGTATTAAACTGTTTGTGTTATTAATTGACATATTTTTGAAAATTGATCCGCTGGAGGAATCCGGCTAAGTTAAGCATTCTTACTGATGCAACGCATCAATAAGGATGTTTA